AATAATAATTATATTAATTTTATTATATTCAGTTGAAAAATAAAGAAATAATAGTTAGTGTTTACAAATTCTAATCACAAATCGTGCCAAATAATATATTTCAATTTCTATAAATTAGCAATTAAAATTAATATATAATTATAAGCATAAAAAAAACATAAAGGCCTTAGTTTCTTTGGCTCATTTTATTCCAAAAAGGAATTGTATTCTTCTTTATTTTAATAAAAATAATTAAATAAAGAAAAAGGCTTAAATGCTTGCTACAATTTCTAAAAATAAATTCTAAACAATTCCTGTCTCCCCTCCAAGCTGCCAATTAATGGACGTCAAAGGACTCTAGCTCGGTTTTATTGCTTTGCTGAGTTTGGAATTCAAATTTTCTAATTGCCATAAAAAATGTTAACCAAAATGTTCACATATAGGGAGCACTCGGCACTATCTTTTGGCAATCGAATATGAAAATCATTTGAGATGTGGCTTCATATACATATGTATATGTATGTATATAGGACCGTATGTACGTATGTGTATGCAGCGAATGAATCGCCCACACATGCACAGGCACCCCGAAGTGCTCACATAAATATCGCGCATTGTGTATATGTATTGGCTTACATAAGCCTCGGCTTCTGCCCAGCTTGGTCCACCCCTTTGCACCACCCCAGCCACCCTGGCCACCCCCCAGTGCCTTCATTTGTGTCTCTCTTTCGATAGCACGAAATGTGCATATGCTTCAAAGTGCTCTCCACATCCATTTCCAACTCTCGCACACACATGTGCGCAGGCACACACACACACGGGCTCACCCGCAGGACATGCACATATATACATATATACAGAGGGACAAGACAATAAGGAGGAGTGGGTGGTGGTTGGTCGGTCGCCTGCCTGCCTGCCTGGTCGGTGGTGGCTCAAAGGGCTACTTTAGGGATGTATATCTGTGCAGCATCCGATAGGATATATCGATCTGATAATATTGACTTTTGAAGCTATAGAAAACATAAATAAAATTTATCGAAAGCATTTATATTTTACAGAAACCTTTTTACAAAGGCTTAAATTGCATTTTAAAAGAGTTAAAATAAATAATATTATTTTTTTTAATTAAAGCACAAGTCATAATTCATTTTTAGATTAAATATTAAAAGAATAAAATTTGTTTATTATTATATATTACAGAAATCTTTTTACATAATTTAAAAATAAATTTCCGATGAGTTTAAGTAAATAATATTATTTTTAAAGGTAAGCTGAAGTCTTAATTCACTTATAGGTTCAATATAAAAAGAATAATATTTATCGAAATAATCGAATATTAATACTCATTTTATCGATGATTTTTTTTGTATAATTTTCAAGTTATACATGTCAATATATTTCAAGTTTTAATTAAACAAGGCAATACTAATTCTACAGGAATAAAAATGATATATACCTCTATTCTAGTGCCATCTCTAGGACTCTTTCGAACTGCTTTGAGCTCCACACACACACACGCTCCCGTACCCACCTTGGGTTCTCCCTCCTTCTCCTTCTCCTCATCTTCATCCCCCTCCTTCTCCTGTCAGGACCTCCACTCCTTTGGCGTTGTCGCCCGGGCGACCATTATAAGCATGAGATATTCATTTGCTTCATTCTTCACATAGCCACTGACATGGACCGAGCGCCGTGGGCCAGAGCGAGGCGGCGAATCGGCCAATGGAAAGAGATGGGGCGATAAAGGATGGAGTCGCATGTATGTGAGCTGCGCAAAAGTCCTTCAATTAAAGATACGATGGCGAGCGAGATGGAGATGGAGATGCAGAGGGAGCGAGAGATGTGCAGATGTGGAGATGTGGAGAGCGAAAGTTCAAAATGTGCAAAAACCAGAAAGCACAACTCCCCAGCACACACACACGCACACACTCACACACGTGTGTGCCCAAATGCGTGCTAGGATACAGGATACAGGAATATCCAAGTACAGTCAATCTTCTATAAGTCTTTCTTTCTCTGCCCAACTAAGTGTCTGAGAATTCTTCTGATAATCCTTAATGTTAAGGTTACAACCGCCTTTCTCCTGCCTGCTGCATACAGGGATATAACAGGAGAGACATCAGAGACCTTCTCAAGATTAGTACAATACATAATACACCTAGCTCCTGATAAACAACAGAAGATTACAGGGTCCAACATCCAAAGATTCGACTGGCACTACAAAGAAAGATGATCTTGGAAATTCTGTGAAAGCTTCGGCTTGGAGTTCCTGGAACAACTGAAAATGGGACTTCCAGAAACCTTTTAAAGAGCGGATAAAGTCTAGATTTGAAAAAAAATCTCTAAAGAGCTTAAAATCTCCCTTAGAAATCTCTGAAGACCTTGAAAATTCCGTTTTTTTTTTTTAGAAATCGCGGAGGTTTTAAAATCTTTTTTTTTTCAAAAAACCCAGGAGATATTAAAACGCATTTCTAAAATTTCACAAATTTGTTGTTTAATAATTAAATATATATATTCCATTTTTGGAGTTGGACTGTACACACATGTGAATGTAGCCATAGGTTTGTGTGGCATGCGTATGTATGCGAGTGTGTTCAATACTCTATGCTCATGTGTGTGTCGGCTTTGAGTGTGTGTGTGAGTGTGTGGAGCAGCCGCCATCTTCGTGAACGGAGGTCGCGAGTAATAAAACACGAAGCGGCTCGGACGCGACGGACTAACTAAAGAAAGGGTGGTCTTGGCGAAGGGGGTGGTGGAGTAGGGGAAGGCGTAAAGAGGGGGGGGGGGCTTACCAAAGATGCGCATGTGGGAGCCAGCACACACACACACACACACACTCCTAGCGCGGTAACTCATATGCGTGTGTGTAACGGGAATGGACGCAACATGTTCGTCCAGCTTCCATTGTTCCGTGGTGACAGCGACGCCTGCTGAGGCAGCGACACCGGCAGCGACGGTGACGTTGACGTCAACCGAGAGGCTGGGACTATCGCGAATGGAGTGAGCGAAAAACCGACGACGACGACCACATTCGATAGCCTTCGATGAGCAATACATTTTGCTTCCCTTAAAAGTGAAGCTGCTCGCTCGCTCGCTCGCTCGTTGGTCTTTCCCTTTCCCTCTTCCTCTCCCTCCCTGTCTTGCTGCCATTCGCTGTCTCGCTCCGTCTCTCTCGCTCACTGGCTTCCTCCCACACATATGTGTGTGCGAGGAGCAGGATATGCATGTGTGGGTGTAGAGATGCCTGCCATTGCTGTCACTCTGGAACGAACGATAGACGTAGCTGGAATCTCTGCCCACACACGCACACCAACACACACACACCCACGCAGGGTCCACAACAACCACTCAATGACCTGCCCCCTCCCCGAAAGTAGCCCCAAAAACGTTGCGCAGGTTTTTCAGTATTTCGGTTAAAAGGGTGCGCCGACTTCGCTGTCTGAGTCTCTGCCTCGGCCGGCGTCTTTGTTGGCCACTTGGTAGCCCAAGAAGAAGAAGCCCCCCATTCCCCTATTTAACCCCACCTCCACCCCGTACATTTTACACATATATTTAAAAAAAAAATTAATAAATAAAAACAGAAATTCGTGACTTAAAGTCAATATAAAGATCATTAAAAAATATAGTTTATGCAAACTTCACAAGAAATACAAATTTTTCTTAAATAAAATTATATGCAATTTAATTCGAAAAAAAAAAACAGTCTGATAACGTACAAGATTTAATTCAGTACTTATTTTAAATAATTCCAATCAGATCAAGACCGTTTAAGGCAAAGTTCGCAAGATAACGGTTGCCTGCAGACCCTTTGGGATTTGTAGTTAAATTCCAAAAGCTAGAAAATATTTTTAAAAGGAATCCGGCTCATATACATATATTCAATCAAAGCCAATCCTTAGGATTTAAGTATCGGCTATTATATAGTTTATATCCATATATATTCCCTATTCTGGCTAAATAACTAGGGTCGTAAGTAATCCTAAATGTATGGAAATATATTCCCAAGCAAACTCGAGTCATTAGACCCGCATCCCTAATTGATCTTACCCCCATTCCCACACCCCACCCCCTTTTTGGAACCCTGAAAGCTGCCCGACATTCGCATAAATTAGTTTTGGCAGCTGGCAAATGAAGAGAACGCTTCGCTTCACAGTTCGTGGGAGTGCCGAGCGGCCATCTTGCCAATATATGCGAGCATATGTGTGCGACCCATACACCCACACACACACACACACACATGAGTGGAAATACATACAAGCGTACATATATTGACAGGCAAGTACATGCACACAGCGACTCGAGTTTTCATAGCATACAGAAAAGGGCGTTCTGACCAGAGGGCCATATGTGTATATGTATGTACATATGTGGACCTAGGCATGTATGTATATAGGGAAGCCAGTGGGTGTATGTCTACATATGTGAGAGTTGGCTCCTAATTAAGTCCACAGTCACTCTCTGCCTTTCCCTCTACCTCTTCCCTCATAGGGGAACGATGAGATTCTCTCTCGCTCTTTCTCTGGCCACATGCAAATCGATTTCAATATGTTAATGGCGCAAACTTTTGAGAATATGAAGTGAAATTTTCTGGCTTGGCAAATTATACATATATGTAAATATACCACAAATCGCAGGGATATTAAAAAAGGAACAATGTTTAAATTATCCATTATCTTATATAAAAATTCTTTTCTTTATAGGTATTTACCAGATCTCTCACTAGAAAGTGTTTTCGTTTAACTCTTTCGTTTTATTTCTTGCGCCTTGCCTGCAATTTACAAATAGTAGCGAACGAGAGAGTTTCTTTTTGAGCAGCCTAAGAGAGCGTCTCGCTGTCCTTTAAAGACCGAAATTACAAAGAAAACAAAGAATACGGTGTTATTAAGAGACTTTTTTATATAATCCACATATTCTTATTATAATATACAAAATATTTCCGAATTTTCCTATCACAGCATCCCTGACTTTAATTTGTCATGACTAGCTCGACGAGCCCTGTCAGAGCTCAGTCCCAACAAACACTTTGAATAGGAAACAACAGGAAAAAAAAGCAACAAAAAAAATCTATATAATATATTCTAGTTTTCGGTTAAGTTTATATTAAATTTAGATATTTAATAGTTAAATTTTGCATAATTAGGCTTAAGCACAAAGTGGATAAAAGAGCATTCTGGTAAATATTATAAAAATAAAAAAGGAAATCTTCTCTTTAACCAAAGAAAACCCCTTGGAAGAAGACACATCAGCAAGAACACAGTTGGTGATTCGACAAAAAGAGAGTATACACCGACACAGTATGGGCAATAGAGAGGGGCAAGAAACAGAGGTCAGTGAGGTAGGGCATTTTCAGTGACGCCGAGATGAGAGAGGCAACGGACTTGACGTATGAAAGCAGCGATCGGTGAAGAATTTCTAGGATTGACTATATGTAGGACACAGAGACATAGACAGACGAATTGCATCAAAATTCGAATGGCATCAATAAAAACCCGAGGGCGCCAGCAAATTGAAAAATGTAAGTATTCAGGATTTGTCTCTTTTAAATTTCCCAAAGAAAAAGGAGGAGATCTCTCCCGCATCTATTTTGGAATTTTAAATCTAATTCTTCAGGAATTGCTATGCCCTGAGAGCTGTCCTAGCTGGAGGAGGGACTGCTGGAGGAGAGCCTAAGATCCTGACTGGCTGATGGCTTTCTCCTACCCATTTATTTAACATTTGGCTTACAAAAATACATATAAAAAACTAAGCCTGCCTTTTTATTGGGTTTTATTTTAATTTAAAATATCATTTTATAAATTGATTAATTTAATGTTTAAGATTATTTCTTTACTTATTTCATAAACATTCTTTTATAATATAAAAACCCTTAATTCATAAAAGGCAGTGTTAAATAATATTTTAAAATTCGGAAAATATTTCGATCGCATCATTCTTGACTTCGATTTAATTTTAATAATTTTAAAGTCGACGAACACCTTCAACCATCAACATTTAATAATAAGAAAAATATTTATTTTACATAATTTGTGTTAAAAAAATTGAATAATTTATATAAATCATATTAGGCCTTAAATTAATTTCTTCCACATTTAAAACGAAAACAAGTCCTAACAAATTCCGATATTTTCGATTAAGTCTCGATTTTCTTACAAAACGCGTATGTATGCATGTACGTACCCTTTGGATACACTCTCCCCACACACACACACACACACACACACTCACATCCACCTCTAAAAACAAGAAAAGCTTAGGGTGGAGGTTGTGGGTGGGTGGTGGATGGGCGTTCGAGCTAAAAGTCAATACCTTTCGTTGACGTGTGATGTGTGCAGCTTTTTCCCTCTCCCTCTCTTTCTCCCTGGCCTTTTCTCGCTTTCCCGTGTGCAGACACAGGTACAGTTTTCAATTACGACAGTTGAGTGGAGATCCTTTGACGGGCGTCGTCGAGATTCCTTTTGCACAGGCAGAGTTTTCGACTTTAAGTTGATTGCGTTTGGCAATTTGCAGATTGATTGTAATCAATATAATTAACGTTTTCTCTTCATTTTTATTTTGTGCCAAATGTGGGACAATCGATTTACACAAAAATCGATGCTTTCAAGCTTGAATCAATGCATTTTCGGTGGGGGTTCTTGGCAAATATATTTATTTTCTGTCATCCCTCATATAAAACTATAGATTTAGGTGCAAATAATCGATATTATAATTAAAATTAAGCTTGGTTTAAACTTTCAATTAAATTAAAATACAAATTGTTTTTTTTTTGTTTTGATTATTCTATCGATAATATTGATAACTACAAATTATGTGATATATTTTCTTATATATTTTCAATAAATTTCCAAAACGTCAAAAGGAATTCGTCAATATATCAATCGAAATTTAAAGCAATAGTTGCCGATATTTTATTTTTATATTTATATCTATATATGTACATATGTTACTTATATCCATATGCCAAAATCTCTCCCGTGGCTTAATTTTCACATTTTGCAATAACCAATTTCTACATCACACGTCCTGGCAAAAATCCAAATCCTTTGCCGTTGGCATGCAAAATCCTTGAGGGAACCCTAGATGGACCGCCGATCGTGCGAAAGAAATAAATCTGCGACGGTCCTAGTCCCAAAACCCCGAATTGCATAATTTTCTTCTTTATGTTTTCTTTTTTTTTTTTTGCATGTCCTGGGAAACTCCTTGGGCCTCCTGTCACCTGCATGCCGGCGCACCGTTGCGTAATCAAATTACACGCTGAATGCGAGGCAGAGGGAAACCGCACCCCGAGAGGAGGTAGGGAGAAAAGGGGTGTCCTGAGAAAGGACTGAGGCCAAGGGGTGCATGTAAATTATATCTCGAATGCAAAAGGATTACCAGGCCAAGATGCAGGGAAAAGCCGGGTGCCGCAATTAGAAGGAAGGCAAGAATGCGGCATTTACATTTCCCGAAAAGGGGGAAGCGCGGAAAAATCTCAATATGCAAACGGAAAGAGATGATGTGTCGGTCGGCCGTTTAATTAAAAATCGGAAAAGGTATAAATTTCGGTTTGAGGGGCGATTGACAGGACGAAAGTAACGGTTCGCGACAGTTCCCGAAAATTATTACCCATGCAAATTGGCATCCTTCTTCCCCGCCTCCCTTCACAAAAAAAAAAAAAAAAACGCCAGATGGAATGAAGGGTGTTGTGCGTGTGTAACTTGACACACACACACGCATAAACGGCGCACAAATTATGGCTCCTGCGAAGGACTCACGTGCGAGTATCCCATATCAGGGCCACGTCGCATCCTCATCGTCCCCGTCCTCGTCCTTATCTAATTCCCGCGATTTTACCATTCATCCCAAAACTGGAGCGAAGCGGAGGATGGGCAGGCAAGGCAAGGGGTTACATACACTTGTAAGGCGAAGGGGGGGGTTTTATTGTCTATAATATTTGTTTAACTATATATTCTATATATTGTTTATTGTTTATTATGAAATATTTATTAAAATAATATTAATCATTAATAGAAATTATACAAATATATCATGAATAGAAATGATAAACATCTATCGGAACTAAGCTTCAAATAAAAATGTAAGCAGAGCGGAGACCGTGGCTCCAGAGAGTGAGAGAGTGGAAGCTGAAAGAAAGAGTCGCTTTCTCGCCACTTTCGGTCTCCCACCGTATTCTTGTGTTCCGCCATTCTCTTGCATTTCGCTAGTGCTCCTATGAAAACGGTTTAAAAACGGGTAAAAACCGTCGGAAAAACGGGGAAAATCATGCCACAGTGAAAAACCAGCCCACCTGAAGGATTGGAACTGGTTTTGGGAAGAAAATCTGGGTGAAGTCCGAAGAAATCTAGTGCACAGACATAACCCTACCATTTTTTTCGTTTTGCTGTGTGTGTGAGAATGCAAGTGGTAGTGCTAGGCGAGTGAATTAGATATTTTAGGCGCTGCTTGTTTTGATTGCCGCCTGGCGGTAAACTAAAACTGGAAATTAATGAACTAATTAATTAAATAAAAATCCCAAGTAATTTTTTATAAATACCTATGGCAGTTTCTTTTATTTTTCGTTTATCATATTTATTTAATTTCGAAGATTAGGAACATAATTATGTACATATACAAAGACAATTTAAATTTGTTTTTAATCATTGGTTTTAATTATTTATATTATTAATCATTATTATTAATTATTATTGTTATTAAGTATTCAACACTGTTAACACTGTTTTTTTAGTTTTCATAAACATATTTATAATTTTTTTTTGAAGATTATCATTATTTTTGGTATTTTTAATAAATATTTTTAGTTACTAATACTTTTAATTATTATTTATTATTAGTTTCTCGGATAATTTAACTATCTTTCTTATATATTTTAATAGACGTTTTTTCCTATTTTTTAAATTGATTTTATATACATACATTTCTTTTTTTCTTAATAGTATAGTGTATTGTATAATTCTCTTCCACTTTCAAGTCTTCTATCCTTGTAATTTTATTTATTGGCTAATATATTCTGCCTGGCGGGCGAAGGAAGTGAGAGTTCCTTCCAGCTTCCTAATCGCAGATCGCAGCATGACTCTCGCCCACTTGAGTCCGAGCTGAGCTGAAACTTCTTCACACACTGTCGCCTGCCAGGATCATCGATAGCGCAGGACAGCTGCCAGGGCGAACACCACCACCAATCAGGAGCAGCATCCTCATCACCATCACCATCCTCATCATCATTACCATCCTCATCATCATTATCCTCATCATCATCATCATCATCATCATCATCTTCATCCTCATCTGCGAATGTAAATTATTCAAGTGGTCTTCACGCCATTCGCAACCATTCCTTTCCCTTTTTTATGTTTCGGAAATCCCTTGGAAAACTATTTAAAATTCGGCCAACCCGTTGCGATTTCAAGAGTCCTTTGGAAACATCGTCTACACTCGGCATAAATTATGCAATATCTGATTTTACTTTCCATCTTGTGATTTTATTTGTATTTTATTCTAAATTCATTTTGATTTTTGATCCCGATTTTGAGACATTTCCCAACTGGCTGAAGGTCACTTTAAGCTTGTTGCTTCAAGCAACAAGTTGCTTCATTTTAATGTAGCTTTCCCACCCCCACCTAAAAAAGTATATATATATAAAAAATAAGAAAACAGAGAATGAAGCCACACCAAAACGCTGGAATAAAAATTCTGTGTAAAAGAAAAGCGAAATGCAAATAGAAAATGGCTGGAGAGGCGCGAGTTCTTCGCTTGTAGAATGGTAGGGCTGAAGGGCAAAGGACCAGAGAGGGGGAGGTGGGAGTGTGGGGTGGCGGAGACGGGATGTCTGGCACGTCCTTGCCAAGTCAAGTCTCAATTTAAATTTTAATTTTAAATGCCACAATTTTCCAGTCGGTGGCGCGGCATAGTGGAGACCCTACCAGTTTTTTGCCGTTGAAAATATATTTTATAAGTAATAATAATAGTAAAAAATGAAATTTAATGAACTCTTAATTTTTTTATCACTTACTAAAAATTATTGTATTAGTTAAAAATCACTTTTTGAAAGTTGTAATAATAAATGAAATAAAATTGAGGGTTGCATTTCTTTTTAAAACTTTTGTAACTTTAAAATTTAGTAATGAAATAAATAAAATGTAAATAATAAATAATATTTACCTCCTCCACAGTGCCCCCCCCCTACAGTTGTCTCAATTTAGACCCTAACACAACTATACACAGGGAACGATGAAGAAGCACACTTGGGGGAAACACCAAAAGTTGTCCAAGTTCCGCGCGCTTTCTTTTTTATGAATGAAACCATTTTTTTTCTTCTACTAAAAATAAAAGAAAAGCGTCTGAATGGGATGAGAGGAAAGTACAAAAAAAGGAAACAATAAAAGAATACCAGGAGAGAGAAAGAGAGCAGGATAAAAAGGAGGAAAGAAAGGAAAGGAAAAAAATTAAGTCTGCCCGCCGTCTGCAATGTTAGCGTAATGAGTCTCTAATTGACGACATTGAGCCGAGCCGAGCCCCCCGTCGCCGCACACCGTCGTCATCATCAGTTCCCCTTTTTGATACCCTCCAAATTGTGGAGAGTCCAAGGGTATATTGGTTGTTAAAGGTTTTAAAGTTTCCACTTCTTCTTGGGTTTCTTTTTAGGAGTTAGTACAGTTTGAAAGAACTTTTAATTTTGTTTACTTTCTACTACTAAATGTGTTCTTGAAAGGAAAATGATTATTCGAACTGA